AGCCATGCCTCTAGGACTTCCCGGGCATGTCTCTGTTTGGCCAAACGTGTCTATGTTTGGCTGTGCATGTCTATGTTTGGTCAGACACTTTTTAAACTACCAGGCATAAATTGTAATTGTTATTAAATGAGAAAAAAATAACATCTTGACTTTTTGGCTAGTTGCTGTATTTTGCAAGGTTATTGTGCCTGTTCTTTTTTCCCCCGGTCCGAGTAACCCTTGACCCAACCAAACCGATTTAACCTGTCCTCAACCGCCCAACCCAAAAATCGACAAGATCCAAAATCTAGTCGAGATATCCTGAGGTCACTGCTTTTGAGACTGCATATGTGAAATTGAGAGAGAAGTACATTTGCAAAGGATAAAAGAAGTAAAGAATGTAACTATGATTTCAGCAATGCTAGATACTTTTTAAATTTTAGCAACTTGAAGTACAAAATCACAAATTCGTTGATTTAGCCAAACATTGATTTGGCCAAACATAGACACGCATGGGACTTCCTAGAGACATGGTTCTCAAGCCATAATGCAATCCACAAACATATGGAATTGGACTCCATATACAAACCCATACAGAACAAAACTGGAAAGGACACTACTCACCATAACAGGCCGGACAGTATAAACTCCATGCGGAGTAAAACAACATCACTTCATCGGAGGCCACACTGATGATGTTACCTAGCATAGTGAACAAAAGCAAGCCAGCTCGGCAAGCAAGTCAACAACCTCACCCGCAACCCGAGCTACAAATCTTTGCTAAAACCTTGAGCAATGTCTGATTGCTGTAAACCAACGTATTTATTTTAAAATAGAATTTGTCCATTTTCAGTTACTGTGTAGAACAATCATCATACAAGCAATCATCATCTTTTATCTGCACGCCTGAAAATCGAAAAGACCCAGAAGCTGAAAGTCTTTTCGAAAACAGACCTGTAGACATGCTGAGTTTGGGCCAAGTGAAGCTTTTTTCAGAAGGGCCCGAACTCAGCATGTCTACAGGTCTGTCTGGGTCTGCTCAGGCTGAGGGCCCGAATGGACCTATACGCTTCTATCAGTAGGATTTCACTGTGCGTTTAGTGTATTCCTACCTTTCCAGTATTTTTTAAAAATTATTCTACACCTTTAGTTCACTGGTACACTGGATATGACTTTTTCCCAGTTTGACCCAGTAGTTAAAAAGGAGTAGATTATTTACCCGCTCATCTCCATGTCTGATTTTGCAAGCAAAAGAAGTGTTTGTTTGAAGCAGTCAAGAGTCTAATAAATCTATGCAAATTGATGCCCTGTTGCATCAGCAGGATTTATGGCAGTTTAAACCAGGCTGTGATTGGCAATTGAAACAGAGAAGCTGAAACAGCTCTTCAGCTGTAGACAGAAACAGGTTTGAAGGTAGAGATGCTCCCAACTGGTGTGAATCTGCTGCTGATATATATTTCTGTAAATTACAGGTCAGATATCCTTTATCCTCAGTTGGTTCTGAGGTTTCTGGATAAAGGATATCTGACCTGTAATTTACAGAAATATAAATCTGCAGCCGTTAACTATCATTTAAATGTGAAGAGTGTAAGAAGTAAAAATTAGGCCATGAAATTTAATTGACCAACCCAATCTGTTATATGAACTGTACTTCATTATTGATTAATTCCTTTCCACCACAGTTTAAAGTATTTGATATGCTAAGATTTTCACCTTTTCTTTTAAATCAGGTAACTCCAATCACACTGACTCCCACATTATTGGAGAGGATGAAGAATAACATGATGATTATAGAGGTCTGGAATAAAATGATCAACACAGGACAGGAGAAGCTCCTTGGCCTTGTGAAGCTCCCTCTCCATCAGTTTTACATATCTTTTCGGTAAATAATATAGAGCACATGAAATGGTATTTATGTTAAAATGTATCACATAGTGTGATATTAATTAGATGTATTGAAAAAATGAAGCATTACACTACCTGCTAAACATCCTATAAAATTATTGTAAGCCAGAAATGTATTAGCTTCCACATTTGTAAAAGCCAAACAGTTCGCATGCAATATCCCCTAACATTGACTTGCCTTGAGGTACCTTACACCAATGCATTGATGAAAGCCCGGCCTACATTGGGCCTGTAAAGAGAGGGGCTCTTAAGGAGCCTGGTTGCAACTTACCAGCTAATGTGGTTAAATTTTAAGATTGTATAAACCTGGGTGTGAGCCTGCAAGAAGGAGTGGACAAAGTGACACAGTTTTCAAAAATTGTGTGCTTCTGCCGGCCAGTACTTTATCCTACACCATATCCAGCAACCCCCTTTGCCACGCTACCCCACTCCATCTATCACTGCAACCTGAGCCAGCCATCCTGCCTTAGTAGCCTTGGATTGCACCTTCCTAGCTATTCCCCTCCATCACCTATCTGAAGACATCTGCCTTTTGCTGTTTGGGATTCAGTGGCATAATAATGAGAGCTAAAATGCTCTCCCGTTGTTGTAAGTGATTATTCAAAATCCAAGCTTCAATATGTGCAACATTTTTGTTTTACATTTGTACACATAACAAATTTGATTATCAGGAGTAAATTTAAGGGTGACATATGTGGTGGATGATATACATCAAAAGTTAAAAGTTGGTTAGATGAGTCCAGGCATATTTGTTAGTCACAGTTTTAATCCAACTCTTATTTCACAGCATCCAACACACTGATTACTTGTTCCCCAGATACATGAATACACATCTATTTTTTACCCAATTATCCCTAACTTAATGTGCCACCATTACCTGCACCAAAGTTACATTTAGTTTTAGGCATCCCTGTTTGACCCTAATGCCCTAATAATCAATACCTAAACTTTAGCCGAAACCTTCTTTTCAATTAAGTGAACTGTGGAAAATGCAGCAATGTGGTGTTCTCAGGCTTCCAAAAGCCATTTACTGAAGGCTACTAGTTAATCTCAAAGTGGAGATTCAATTTGAAATTTGGATTGTTGAAGAAACTAATTCTGCTTTGAAACACAATTGGTACAGATCATAAGTTTGCATTGGAGAACTTAATCTTCATGGGTGAAACTCTGCACTTGTATTTCTTAGTGAATGAATACTTCATAAGTTTTCAGACTGAACTTATGGTTGAGTGATTAATTTCATGAGTAAGCCATGAACATAATTTAAATTGTCAAGTAAGATAGCAGCTAACTGCCTGAACGCATTGAGACTTTTAAATGCCCTGCTGTGTCCTCAATAAATGGATTTCAGTGTTTCCTTATAACAGATGCTAAGCTAACTGGCCTATGGTATTTTGTTTGCTGTCTCTCTCCTCTCTCGAACAGAAGATAAAGAAAAGCACTTTTTTTTTTCCAAATTCACATATGTTCAGAAGAATTCTGTTTTCCGAAATTATACTGTATCCAAATTTTTAACTTAGTCTATTCCACAATGAACATGATGCAATTGATTTTAAATGTAGAGTTTAGGTATTATTTGTTTTTGCAAATTATTTTCACAAAATTTGACCAGGATTTTAACTTCCACGTTGGGTAGTATGAGTTGGCAGATTCCCCACCTCAGATGGCGTACAGATGGTGGAATCTTCATATGGGAGCCTGGGTATGAAATGGAGTCAGGTCAACCAGTTCCTGGATGCAGATCAGACACAGTCAAATTTCATGGTGGACTGTCCAGCAATCACTTCTCAGTTCTGAGGGAATTTGTCCCACGATTCTATTAAACATTAGGCCACTACCACGATCTTCTCCTCATATTATGCATGCCAGCTTCATGCCATCCAGCACCCTCATGGACCCTTGGAGCCTTGTGCCATTTTAATGCCAACCCATCACCACATTTTCCCCTCGTACCCTTCATGCGAACAGACCATGTTTCTTCCATGGGTAGACACATTTGAGATGAAATAAAGTTCTAAATACCTATTATATCCTTCATTAAATAATGAAAGCTCCCGTGCGTGAAAGCCCATATGGATTATTTGAAGTCCTACAAGTACTATGCCTTAGAAAAATACGTAGTTATATTCATGGCCGCACATTAAAGACAGTTAATCCTTTAAATAATCAATGAGCTGTCAATCAAACTGTTACCTTATAACTGCCTACTATGATAATCATAGGTTGTAGAAAGCAACTAACTATTATTAATGATATGATGGTAGCTGTTAGGGTCTTGTCAACAAACAGCTGCTAGTACAGATTTTTTCAACATGATAATTTTGTTTAAGAGCAACAGATTTAAATAACTGACACATACTTTCTTCGATTTTTACAAGTTTGGGTGTTCAAATAATTTGACAGCTTGACAGTTTTGCAGATCTTAACAACCCTTCAAGAGCATTCGCAACAACTCTAAAGAGTTGTAACACCCAGACATTGGGTTAAAGATCAATGGGAGGTCTGTTGGAACTCAGTGGTAAGCTCAAGTGTCCCGACTGACTTCAAATTTCCCACAAATCCTACCACCTTTACCCACCGGTAAAAATAGGATCTGTCTGAAACGGGCTGGAGTTCCAGGTCCAAAAGGCCATCTGCCTTTTGGGAATCTCCATGACTCCATGAAAGTCCAGGTCTTTATGTCAATCTGATAATGTGTTAAAGCATTTTAGTTTGCAGCTCTGATTTCTGACTTGGGAGGAAGGTTTTAATTTTTCATCCAGAGTCATTGATTCTTCATGTCTTGTTGAAGTATAGAAATTTTAATACATTCTTCAGAAATCGCACAACCTGGTAATATTTTTTGCATAAAAATAAAAATCTTTGTGGCATAAGTATAGAGTACATATGAAACAATTGGAGTGAAATTTGGGAAGCAACTGTTTAGCCTCCCCATTAATGAGGGAGTACACTCTTCTGGCAAGCACATAGAATTTACCATAATCTGGTAGAATGTAGGCTTTGCTATTTATTATTCATGTAGCGAATTCCCAGTTTGAGTAAAAGAAATATCAAATATGTTCTCAGTGTTAACATGAAAATCGGAAATAACAATGAGCAATAGCTAGAAGGAATTCACAATAACTGAAAACAAAATTTAATGTTATTAAAATACTTGACATATTTGATGTAATTAGATCATTATTTGGAGTTTAATCGAAACAAGTGATTATTTTCATGTGTAGTTTCTTGACCACACATTGACTATCTGGTTAATTTGATGTTTAAAAGCTTCCAAGTTTTTTTTTGTTATTTCAGTGTGGTATATAAAGACTAATGACAGATTTGGAAATATGTAATTGATCGAAGCTGTGGGTGTTTTCTATTTGGTGACCATTGAATTTTTTTTATTTTGTAAATCAAGGGATCCCAAGATTTCACAATTACTGCTCCAAGCTCAATATCCTGTGGTTGCTGTGGACAGCTACATGCCAATGATGGATGTTTTCACAGGCAGCCAAAAGGGCAACCTTCGTGTTTTACTAGCAATGGGAGAAGCAGACCAAATAGCAGCACTTCAGAAATTGAAAAATGATGAGGGAATGTCACTTGCTGATTTCCAGCAGATACCTCATTTTCTGGATCAAGTGCTTTCAGTTCCTTCAAAGGTTTGATTATCATAATGTTAGATGTGTATTGTAATGTGGTCAAAGTGCACATGTCCGCGTGAGCTTATTTACTCCAAGAATCAAATCAACATTTGGTGCATGTGAATTTGTGCCAGTCTCTAAAACCTCTCGTCAGAATTAAGCTATTACATTCATAGTCTCTGACCTGTAACTATGGAGCCAAAGTGTAGCTAACACCATGAAAGTTATTAGTGTGAAGAGATCCATTTATTTGTGAGTCATTTTGCCATGTGATGTACGGAACTCTGATTGCCACTGACTCATTTTTTATTTTGGGAGAAAGCGTTTGTCGTTCTTTCTCATTTCACAGATAAGTTTTACTGTTATGTGTATAAAATGTTTAGGGAGTTAGCAAAAACCCATGACTGCTCTTTAAATTGTTTTACATAAAAGTCAGCACAGAAGTAGAATGAAACAGCATCTTGGAAAAGTTGTTATATCATTTGGCTTTCGTGCATTATGGTGTTCGTCACCTTTCTCCAATGTCATGTCACCACTTCTGTGTCACTGTACAGATGAAACCACTTCATGTCAATTAATTTACACTAACTAATGCTAACCAATTCATTGCACCAAGGTATTAGTTTACCTTGAATTGTTCAAATAATTACACCTAGAGAAACACCTTGTCTGCATTCTTCATGCACATTCAATCAAATGTGGTGTGAACATAGAAGTACAGTACAGTACGGTACAGGCCCTTCGGCCCACGATGATGTGCCGACCTATTATCCCTACTCTAAGATCAAACTACCCTGCATACCCTACATTTTATTATCATCCACGTGCCTATCCAAGAGTCACTTAAAAGTCTCCTAAAGTATCTGACTCCACTACCACTGCCAGCAGCTCGTTCCACGCACCCACCACTCTCTGTATAAATAACCTACCTCTGACATCTCCCCTATGCCTTCCTCCAATCACCTTAAAATTCTGCCCCCTTGTAATAGTCATTTCTGCCCTAGGAAAAAGGTCTCTGGCTATCCACTCTATCTATGCCTGTCATCATCTTGTAAACCTCTATCAAGTCACCTGTCACCCTTCTTAGCTCCAATGTAAGAAGCCCTAGCTCCCTCAACCTTTCCTCATACGATCTGCCCTCCAGTTCAGGCACCAGCCTGGTAAATCTCCTCTGCACCCTCTCTAAAGTTTCCACATCCTTCCTATAATGAGGCGACCAGAACTGAACACAATATTCCAAGTGTCATCTAACCAGGGTTTTATAGAGCTGCAGCATAACCTCGCAGCTCTTAAACTCAATTCCCCTGCCAATGAAAGCTAACACACCATACATCTTCTTAACAACCCTATCATCTTGGGTGACAACTTTGAGGGATCTGTGGACGTAGACTGCAAGATCCCTCTGTTCCTCCACACTGCCAAGAATCCTGCCATTAACCCTGTATTCTGCATTCAAATTCGACCTTCTAAAATGAATCACTTGACACTTTTCTGGGTTGAATTCCATCTGCCACTTCTTTGCCCAGCTCTGCATCCTGTCAGTGTCCCGTTGCAACCTACAACAGCCCTCCGCACTATCCGCAACTCCTCCAACCTTCGTGTCATTGGCAAACTTACCAACCCACCCTTCCACTTCCTCATCCTCATTTATAAAGATCACAAAGAGCAGAGGTCCCAGAACAGATCCCTGTGGAACACTGGTTACCGAGCTCCAGGCTGAATATTTTCCATACACTACCACCCTCTGCCTTCTATTGGACAGCCAATTCTGTATCCAGACAGCCAAATTTACATGACTCTAATGCATCCTTACTTTCTGAATTAAAAAGTTGAAACACTTGAAATAGTTTTAATTTGATAAAAGTGTACAAAGCTTTTTAAAGATTTAAAAATATAGTCACATCATACTAACATATACTTTTTCAGTTGGACAGAAGGGAGACAAAACGACTGATTGAACATATATTTGAAATAAATGTGGTGCAGCTTAAAGGATTGACTCCTTTGCAATCCACTGTTTGGGGAGAAGCAGACTGCTATATACAATATTATTTCCCAACTCAAGATGTAAATACCATAACTGAGAGAGTACCATTTGGAAATGGTAAGTAATTTTGTATTCCAAGATGCTTATTTCCAATTTGGATGTAGCATAGTACGATTAACGTTTTGTAGCTCATAAGAATAAATTGTAAATTTGGGGAAGAAATTGTGTTAATAGAAAAAACACTGGAACTTCCCAAAATTGTAAAACAAATGATCAAAGGTGTGAACTAGAAGGGACCTTATCAACAGTTCATTAAAAATTTACTGTATCAGAAAAATTGATTATTCAACAGAATTGGGATACCATTCCTGTGTCGTTACCCTGGAAACCCCAAGGGTTATCCTTGGGCATTTTTCCACATCCATGTGCTACTCCACTATTTGCAGAAGTGAGTTTTGGGTTTTCCATGTACCTGATGGCTCCCACACTTTGTCTGTCCAAGACCCCTCCCACATCTCCACTAGCTCGCTAGGTTTGTATTGTTATTCTATTTATTTTTGGCCTTACAATAGCTGTAACTTGAGTTAAGCACTATGAAGACTGAAGCCACTATTTGAGACTTCATCATAAGCAACTGTTTAGCCTCTTGTGAGTGTGTACACTCTTCAGGCAAGCACATAGAATTTACCTTGGAGTGACAGGATGTAGGTTTTTGCTGTTCATGTAGTGAGTTCTCAATTTGCATAAAAGACATATCGAATTACTTGAAAATAGGAAAATAACCTTGGAGGCAGAAGGCACTTAGGATAACTGAAAAAAAATTAAATGTAATTAAAGTATTTGACATAATTGATGTAATTAATTCCTTGTTTGGGGTTTAATAGAAATGATTAGGTTCTTGTGTTAGCATTGTACTTGTTGGTTAGTTTGATGTTTAAAAGCTTCCAAATTTTGTTTTAATTACAGAATTGTCTGGAACCTTGACATTAATTCTATCTCCTCTTTGGCTATTATCTCATATCCCTTCTGACGTTAAATCCCGCTGGTTGTCACTCCTTTCTTTGCTGACTTATGTTGGCTTCTGGTCCCCATGCCTCATAATTTAATGTACACATGCTTTTATTTAAGTCCTTTTTAAGCTTTGTTCCTCATCTTTGTAGCCTTTTCTCTATTCGCTCACAGGATGAGGGCACTGCTGGCTAGGTGAAGGACATTGGTGAACCGGATGGGTTTTTCTAACATTCGGCAATGGATTCATGGTCATCATTGGACTCTTAATTCCAGGATATTATCCGGGTCTCTAGATTAATTGTTGAGCGACAATATCAGTAGGCCATTGCCTCCCCCAGTTCCCCAGTCGTACATTTCAGTAGATTAACTCTTCATATATTTAACACTGATCTTTTCTACATCCAACCTTGCCTTGTGCCACTGTTGACAACTTTATCTTCAATCACCATGGCCCCCGTTGCAAACCCATTTGCCACGTAAGTCTGTCTCCTCATGTGAAAACGTCCATGAAACCAACTTCTTTGACCAGGTGAGATGATGGCTTTGTGGTATTATCACTAGACTATTAAGCCAGAGATCCAGGTAATGTTCTGGGCACCCTGGTTTGAATCCCAACGCACAGATGATGGAATTTTATTCGAATAAAAAAGTGGTATTACAAGTTCAAGTTGTTTATGGAACCATTGTCAATTATCAGAAAAACCCATCTGGTTTACTAATGACCTTTAGAGAAAGAACCTGCTGTTCTTTCCTGATCTGGCCAACATGTGACTCCAGACCCACAGCAATGTGTTTGGCTCTTAACTACCCTCTGGGTAATTAGCGATGGGCAATAAAAGCTCACCTGGCCAGCAACACCTGCGAATAAATAAATAAAGCTTCAGTTATTTGTCCTCTAGTATCATGTTTGCTTTGGTTTTCTGTCAGATTACAGTTCTGCTAAGCACCTTGATACTTTTTTGAACATTGAAAGGTTATTTAAATACAAATTGTTATGTGGTGATGGGGTGATCTTATCTTCTAAGCAAGAAAGTAGAAGTGAAAACTCTGGAGTGATTCAAGTCTGATAATGGAAATTGCAGATTTCTGAGCAGGTCGGATGAGATCAGACAAGCAATTTATCTCTTCTCTGCTGTAACAGCCCTTTAAATAGTCTGGAAGACTACTCAGTTGAATCAAATACTGAGGTTGCAAGAAGGCCCACTACCACCCTCTTGGAGCAACTTTGGAGGCATAGCCGATATTTTCCTTTCCAGCAGTACCCACATCTTTAGAAATTATATTAAATAAAATGTTCCTGCTTTTTTTTATGTCATCAGCTATAGATTCATTATGGGTAACTTATAAATTTATATTGACTTGTGCAAATGTTTTCATTACTAAGTTCTTTAATACTTGTGCCAGATATTCTGGAAAATCAACTTCATGTGCCAGCCAACCTCAAATCTGAAACAGGTTCTTGTTTTTAAATACAGTAATTTCTGCACATTTAAACTAAATAACTTTTTGCACTCATTGTTTTGCCGCAGACATCATGTTGAAGCCTTTTCGCACAGCAACCACTTTATGTGTACCAGATCCTCTCTTCAATGACTGCCAAAACCACTCTCTTCTCATCCCACCAGACCTTCCAGTTCAGAGGACACTGCTGAGCACTTGTTCAAAACAAATGTTTGGAGAAGGTGGTGGCATTCAATTTGAGGTTTGGTGTAGGTAAATGCTGAAATCATTGAAACAAATAGACCTTATCTAGCAGAAAAATAGGATGGAGTCTATGTGAGATGTGTCATCAGCTACATCAAATTTAAAACCACTTTATGCTAAGCAGGTATCTGTATTCATCTCTGTGTTCATTGCTGAAAGATGATTTGTGGCCAGAAATTTTGGCTTTTAGTCATCAAATCAATTGCAAGAAGGCCAAATTTGAAGTAATCATTACATTTTATACTACAGGAGAAAAGGATCCTTATGTTATCCCTCAGGATCAAGAATGACTTGCTTCTACTCCAGTTTGATGAGCTTTGCATAAACTGATATGTCTGATATGTGATCTGCAGGCACTGCAACAAGAGACTTTGTGGGAAACTAGGGAAGTGATTGCTGTGTCCCTTGCTTGGTTATTTGTATCATCGATTGCCATGGGTGAGGTGCCAGAAGACTGGAGGTTGGCTAATGTGTTGCCGTTATTTAAGAAAGGTGGTAAGGCAAAACCAGGGAATTATAGACTGGTGAGCCTGATGTCAGTGGTGGATAAATTGTTGGAGGGGATTTTGAGGGACAAGACTTACATATATTTAGAAAAACAAGGACTGATTAGGGATAGTCAGCATTGCTTTGTGCATGGGAAATCGTGCCTCACTAACTTGATTGAGTTTTTTGAGGAAGTAACAGAGAAGATTGATGAAGGTGAGATGGTGGAAGTTGTCTGTTTGGATTTCAGTACGGCATTCAACAAGGTTCCGCATGGCAGATTGGTTAGCAAGGTTAGATCACATGGAACGTAGGGAGCACTAGCCACTTGGATACAAAATTGGCTCGAAGGTAGGAGACCAAGAGTGGTTTTGGAGGGTTGCTTTTCAGACTGGAGGACTGTGACCAGTGGTGTGCCACAAGGTTCGGTGCTGGGTCCACTGCATTTTGTCATTTATATAAATTACTCAGATGTGAATATAGATGATATGATTAGTAAGTTTGCAGATGACACCAAAATTGGAGGTGTAGTGGACAACAAAGAAGGTTACCTCTGAGTAGAATGGGACCTTCATCAGATGGACAGATGGGCTGAGGAGTGGCAGATGGAATTTAATTTAGATAAATGTGATGTGTCACATTTTGGTAGGGCAAATCAGGGCAGGACTTGTACAATTAATGCTAAGGTCCGGGGGAGTGTTGCCGAACAAAGAGACCTTGGGCTCCAGGTTCGTAGTTCCTTGAAACTGGAGTCACAGGTAGACAGAATGGTGAAGAAGGCATTTGGTATGTTTGCCTTTATTGGTTAGTGCATTGAGTATAGGAGTTGGGAGGTCATGTTGCAGCTGTACAGGACATTGGTTAGGCCACTTTTGGAATACTATGTTCAATTCTGGTCTCCCTGCTTTGGAACGATGTTGTGCTACTTGAAAGAATTCAGAAAAAGATTTACACTGATGTTTCTGAGATTGGAGGGTTTGAGCTATAGGGAGGGGCTGAATAGGCTGGGGCTATTTTCCCTGGAGCGTCAGAGGCAGATGCGTGACCGTATAGAAGTTTCCTAAAGTCATAAAGGACATGGATAGGTGAATAACCAAGGTCTTTTCCCCAGGAGTCCAAAACTAGAGGACATAGGTTTAAGGGGAGAGGGGAAAGATTTAAAAGGGACCAAAGGGGCAACTTTTTCACACAGAGGGTGGTGTGTGTATGGAATGAGCGGCCAGAAGAGGTAGTGGAGACTGGTACAATTACAACATTGTAAAAGGCTTCTGGATGGGTATATGAATAGGAAGGGTTTAGAGGCATATGGGCCAAATGCTAGCAAATGGAACTAGATTTATTTAGGATATCTAGTTGGCCTGGGCAGGTTGGACCAAAGGCTGTGTTTCCATGCTGTGCATCTCTATAACTCTATGAGGCTGATGGTTCTTGAAAGGTTGAGTAAAATAGGCTGTTACGAGGTTTATGCACTGTTCCCCAAATTTGAATCCATCTCTGCCAGTTCCCAAAAAAGTGTTTCAATATGTTTGGTGCCCTGGGGAGGTAGCAATGTAATAGTACTGTCAGTGGACCAGCAATCCAGAACTCCAGGCTCCTGCCCTTCTTTGAGGAAATCCCTGAAGGATTTCTGCTGTATTCTCGCCACTGTCGAGCTCCATGTAGAGCAGTTACTTTGGAAGTCTGCTACCAGGCTGGTTTTGAGTCACTAGCCCCTCAATGCTGAACAGTTTGACCTGGGAGAGGTGTTGCTGTTGCATCACCTCTCTTACCTCTGGATTGATGGAGAAAGCAATAGGGAATTATTGTCTCCTCGAGTTACCTGACTCAAAAGGTGCAAGTTCCAAAGAAGGATCATATTGGACATGAATTGTTAATTCTTTCTATCTCCACAGATGCTGTCAGGCCTGAAAATATTCCTTTTGTTTGCAGAAAGCTATGCCTGTGGCTTCTGGCAAGTGTAGTTGACCCACATTGCAAACTTAGCTGAATATATTAAATTGAGGGTGAATCACACATTTTTAAAAAAAAAGCTGTAGATTTTTCAGAATATGTTTCCCTTCCCAAATTGCCTTGAGCAGGTGATGGTGTACTACCTTTTGAGCTGTTGCAATCCATGTGATGTAGATAAACCCATGATGCTGTAGGGAAGGAAATTCCAAGTTTTTAACCTGATGATGAAGGAACATTGATATAGTTTCAAGTCAGGATGGTGCGTGGCTTGGAGGGATTTGCAGATGGTGGTGTTCTCATGTGCCTGTTGCATTTCTCCTAGCTTGTAGAGATCTTGGGTTGAGAAGTTTTGCTGAAGAAACTTGGGCAGGTAGCTGCAGTGCACTTTGTAGATGATGTACACTGATAGCACTGATTTCCTGCATTGGAGGCAATGAGCATGTAAAGTGGTGGATGGGGTGCTGATGAAGGGGGCTGTTTTATCCTGTAGTGTTGTCCTGTCTTGAGTGTTGTTGGAGCTGCACTAATTTGGATAAGTGGAGAGTTTGCTATCTCACACCTGACTTGTTTCAAGTAGATGGTGATGAGGCTTTGAGGAGTTAATTAATTTCACGTGAAATTTTGTAACAAACTCATTTTATTCTCTCAGGTACTATTACCCTAATGTTAGAGACCAGCTTGTTGCCAGGGGTGTCCTCCCTTTATCAAAGCTGTGTGCTATGGTAACTATGCAACATCACAAGGAAGTTGGAGTTCAGATATTTAGCATTCCCCTATTGCCTAGAACAGAAAATGCTGAAGGACATCCTCTGCGTTCCACCGGTACGTGAAATGTTTTTGTCTTTTTATCTGTATCAAAGAGGATTAAGAATGTAGATGAACTGACCCATGTTAACTTCTTTATGACAGCATTTAGTAAAGCTATGTCATTCAGGTAGGGATGTTGAAACAACATGCCTATATTTACCAATGTAGAAAGCTAATTTGACCAACAGCTTTATAAAAACTAAAGTATACTTCTAAAAGCTATCAACTTAAGTGCTCTAATTACAGGCCTATGACCTGATTTTGCTGTTTAATGACCTTATTTAATGTTGGGGAAGATAGTTCATGTTCCATGTGTGATGAAACAAATTGTTGACTGTGATTTTAAACTAATTAGCATTTTCTAAAAGTTAAGTTGAGACATCAAATAATCATCCAACACTTAGTTTCTGTATCCTTTTCCTAGAATATAAGGCTTGATTTTCTGAACACAGGTTTGACGTTGAAGCTTGGAAAGGGTATAATGTAATTTAACTTGAATATCACCTAATACTTTTACATGTGTTACAGGCTTATTGGATGTTAGTATAAAATACAGATGTTCAGTGCAAACAACTCAGGATGCCAAGGAAGGTATCATAGCATCTCATGCTGTATCCCTTTCATTAAAGCTGCTCCGGGCTTCAGGGCTACAAGCTGCAGCAAGGTGAGGACAATTAAGTGATATTTCATGGATCTGATGGTCACTTCTTTGACGTTATTAATTTCAAATTTGAAATGGGATTTTTGTTCCAGGTCTCATTTTAAAGATCACATTGTTTTGAATTGCAACAGATTTTAATACCTAATTTTGTTTCTTCTTGCTTTACATTTTTGCATACAGCTATAGTGCTCTGACTGATTAAACTCTTCAAATAAATTATTGGCCAGGCAGACCTAAAGGAATGCTATAAAAATGATGTATTTGGACCTTCAAAAGTAATTGACAAAGTGCCATATAAGAGAAATGTCACTAAGATTAAGAAAGCTCATCATACAGCGTGACAGAAGGGGTAGTTGAAGGGTTAACAACTAGAGTATAAGGATCATTGATGTTTCACAGATTGACAAGGTGCAGCTGAAGATCCTTGTTGGTAGCTCTCTGAACTTCTAGAAACTATGTAGAAATGGTTTATGGGGAACAATATCAAAATTTGCTGAAACTCAGATAAGGATATAACAAACTGAAAAAAAATGCAGGAAACTGTGGAACACATGAGACAATCACAATTTCTGACCGAAATTCAACTTTATAATATGAATGAAGACATTATAATTTATTTAAGTGTGGAAAGTGGATATATACATCTCAAATATGGATAGTCTCATTTGAGTGGAAGAATGGAGCTGCAGATAATGAGATTTTCAAAGCAGAATTGTCCTGGAAAAAAGCCCAAAAATTGAATTGAATTCTGAGTTTATTGTATCAGCATATTGAAATAAATACAAGAAGGTAAATGATTGATCTACACAAGATGTTGCTAAATCTCATTTGGAGCATTGCTCGGTTAAAGATACCCTATCCAAGGAAAGATAAAGAAAGGAAAAGGTATTGCAGATTCACGAGGAAGGCACCAGACACAAACTTAGTGTTGATGAGAGCTCATTTTTGCTACTCACGGAATTGGTGACTGTGACTTCTAAATCTAGAACTACCACGAGAAAACTGGCAACAGTAAGAGCCTAGAGGTGTGATGCCTAGTTCTTTAAAAGTGAAAGATAAGGTGGAAAAGTCCATAAAAAGACAACATTTAGCTATGGGCATCAAGTAGGATTTTATATAAACACCCCCTAATCCCTCTGCTTCTGCACCCCCTTTTAGATCTGTACCCTTTTATTTCATGCTTAAATAGCATATTTCACAATTTCAGGATGTTCTAAGGCACTTTACGGCATTGAAGTACTTCTGCAGAGAATTGTTAGGTTGGGAAACAATCGCTATGGAGATATACAAGACAGCATTAGAATAAATATTTTACACAGATGAGCTGTTAAAAGATAGAATGTTTTGCTTTTGGTATCTACAAAGGTGAAGAGAGTAATATTTGAAAGGGATAAAAACCGGCATGTGAAAATAACAAACAGGAAAAGCAGGACTGTCAAACCCGACCAATGTTATCGGAGTTCAACTCTCTCAAACCATGACTTCATCCAGCCCACTTGGCTTTTGTATGCTATGAATTCAGTTTTAACATTTGCATGAATATGTACTCATTCCATAATGCATCAATGGGTTGAATAGCTCAAAGATTCTTTGTGAAAAGAAGTACCTCCTGTCATCTAACTTTATTCTGTGCTTCAATAATTTGTGAGCAAATATCCTAGACCTTTTAAATTATTTAGTGTAAATCTTATTGAATATTATTCTTCCAGTAATTTAACAACCTAAGTAAAATCTCCCTTGAAGGCAATGATTTTCTAGAGTAAAGCACTCAAGTACTCTACATGAAATGCAAAAGATCATGAATACTGGAACTCTGAAACAAAAACAGAAAATGCTGAAAATAAGAACATAAGAACTAGGAGCAGGAGTAGGCCGTCTGGCCCTTTGAGCCTGCTCTGCCATTCAATAAGATCATGGCTGATCCTTTCGTGGACTCAGATCCACTTACCTGTGTTCTCACCGTATCCCTTAATTCCTTTATTGTTCAAAAAAATCTATCTTTTTTTAAAAAACATTTACTGAGTAGTGTCAACTACTTCACTGGGCAAGGAATTCCACAGATTAACAAGCCTCTGGGTGAAGAAATTCCTTCTCAGTTCAGTCCTAAATCTGCTCCCTCTAATCTTGAGGCTTTTCCCTCTTGTCCAAGCTTCACCTGCCAATGGAAACATCCTCTCTACTTCTATCTTATCTATTCCCTTCATAATTTTATATGTTTCTATAAGATCCCCCCTCAATCTTCTGAATTCCAATAAATATAATCCCAATCTACTCAGTCTCTCCTCATAAGCCAACCCCCTCAACTCCGGAATCAACCTAGTGAACCTCCTTTGCACCCCCTCCAGTGCCAGTACATCCTTTCTCAAGTAAACTCAACAGATTTGCCTGAAACATTAACTCTGTGCAACATACAATAGGCCTCATACCCTTCATGTAACAACCTCCCACCTCCAAAAAGATTAGCATGTTTTTGTATTGACTTTTGCATATATTCTAAGATTTTTACGTTTAATTGCTTCAACCCTGTCAGCGTCATTTCTCCTGATTTATATCTATCAATAATCATAATTCTTGTTATTCACACTTGTTTTTATTTAGCTCTAAGTTATACTTGCTGAAAGATACCAATATATTATGTAATGGCATTACAGCCCAACAGAGAACTCTACTTTTACAACACATTGTCTTCAATCACAGGGTGTATCCAAGTGGTTCTTTTGAATTTGGTTAAATATAGTTAAAAGAAGACTCGACAACAGCAATTTGCTTAAAAGTGGGTGTTTATTAAGTAATAATAATAATGATAATAAGAATAAAAAAAGGAAAAGGAAGGGAAAAAAAAGTCTCACGCCCTTCTGTCTGTCGGAGACCCCTCGATTGATGGCTGGCCTGGAGGCTTAGGTTCGTTCTTGGCACTGTTCACGATCCCGGTCCAAGGTGAAGACCAACAACTTGGAGCAAAACTCTCTCTCTTATACAGTGTAACAAACAGCAAATACCGAAAACAGAATAGAAAAGCAACTTTGATTATGCCATCTTTGGCACGTACAGGAATATTCACAGACTCATTCAAGGTCGTGCAACTGTCGAATGTCATCAACAATTTTAGCCCTTCAGCCCTTCCTGTACACACATCCCTACATTATACATGAGATTAATTTGTGAATTAACCACTCATAATGGATGAAGAATATTGTGCCTTGTGTTTTTCAATAATAGCTTGCTCTCAGAATATAAAAAAGTCAGACCTAGCACTTGTACTCATAGCTAAGTGGTTATGGCGATGGATTTGAAATCAATTGGCGTATCCCAGCATAGTTTCCAGTCCTGCTGACGACATCTCTGAGGGTCTTGTGCTGCAGTGTAAGTGTCCCTACCTGTGAGCCAGGAAATCTAGGTTCAAGACCTATTTGCCACAGAGGTGTATCATAACATTATCTGAAAAAACTCTTTAAACATGGGTAAAATGATTAGGAGGCACCATTGGCCAATATATCATGTCATAACATTTCTCTGAAGTCTTATTTTATCTGTTCTGGTTTTTCAATGTCTGCTGTTAGCAAAATTACATACAAGTTTGCTCTGAACTGTCTTAGGCAAATGTGTTAACCGTCACTTCTTGATTTATCTAATATTTTCTACTTCTTAGCCTTGAGAGCATCTCTGCTATTTTGAATTTGAGTTGAAAGTGGAAGAAAGATGGATTTTAGTTTTTAGTTTGATGATGATGTATTGTTTTGTTTTAACAAAGGTCAGAAAGCCATTTTTGAACAGTGAATTTGAACATTGTTTCTAAGAAAACATATGATTTAAATTAAATGACTTGATCAGCTACCTGAGGAGTTAGCTGCTGAACTTTTGCAATGCTGACTTTTATGACATCCAGAAAAATAGATGGTCTGCAACTACTAGTAGGTTGGGTTCCGAAGAGACGGCATCCTAACATGAACAATGTTTGTTAGTTTGTATAAATCTCCAGACTGTGAGTCTCGATAGAAATCTCTAGACTGGCAGAATTGGAAAGAACTTCTAGACAATCAGGGCTAAAAAGAAGACATCAGGCCATTAGAGCTAGAAAAAAAACGTCTTAAGCTTGGTCCAGCAAGAAGGGCTAGGAGAAGGATTTTGAATAAAAAAAGTCTTAAAAGTTAAGGTAAGAACACATTCTTTCCATGTTCTGGGCCCAGTCTTTGGCAGGATTGAAGGAATCAAGCTTCTCAAATAGTGGCATGATGCCAGAAATGCTTACCCCATCTCAAAAGTGACTGTTGCAAAGGATGTTTCTTAAAAAAAGACTCGAATCTTCATAATTGGTACGACGCGTGCTGCCCATTCCATAAACTGTACTGGTTTGATGATCCCTTTGCTTTCCAGTCTCCTGATTTCTGCCTGTACTTTTGCACTGGGCAGGCCTTGCAGAATCGTGGAATTTCTTCTTGGTCAACACGTAAGGTGGTCTTGGCCCCTGTGATAGTGCCTAGACCTTCCTGAAAAACATCTGGATATTTAATTAGGACTTCACTCAGGCTGCCAATTTCTAATCAAAAAATTTTGAGCTAATCAAGTTGAATCTTTTTCAACCAATTTCACCCCATCAAGCTTGGGCCTGAGCCTTTTTACTAAAACCAGTGGTAACTGAACCAGCTGCTTCTCATAAGAGACCAGAACTGCAGTTGTCCCCTTAATCTATTAGGGTTCCCTGGTATAGGTTCTCAGCCTGGCCGAGGTCTTACGCAAACTTAAGGGTTGGAGTCCAGAGTGAATTTTGGTAAAGACTGGTTCTGCAATCACTGATACAGCCGCGTCGATATCGACCTCCATTAGAACTGGGGGACCATTTAACCAGATGTTTATTTTCATGGGTTCTGATTTGGATGATGCTAAGCAGTTTAACTGTTCCAAACCAGCTGTATGTGGACTTCCAAGGGTGAGCATTCCCTTGGATACTGGCCTATGAGTTCTCTTACTGAAATTGGGCCTAGTGGGACTCTTGCTGTCTTGAATCTGCATACTAGCCCAGATCCCCAAGAAAATTTTAAAGCATTTAGCTGAGGTTTGGCTTTATTTTGGGGTTTTGCTGTGGGCTGACGTAGAGTCCCTCCGTTCAGGATATGTCCTGAGTGAAGTTATGCAATTGCCTTCTCTCAAATGGTGTTCCCCAAGCTCTTCAGCAAGACAAGGGCGTCCAGTTCTGTCAAAATATCTGGTAACTCATAAGCTCCACTTGCCAAATTTTCTCATGACAAAGCCAGTTGTAGTGCCTGTTTGAAGTCCAATTGGGCCTCAGCTAGTAGGTGCTTTTGCATGGTCACATCATTAATCCCATATATCAGACAGCCTCTCAGCATCTCACTTAGGGTTAAACCAAAATCACATGCCTCTGCTGGTCATCTTAACCTCGGCAAAAATCCCGACATGGATTCCCCAGGTTTTTGAACTGACAAGTATAACCAATAGTGTCACAGAATTAGAGGAGGATTGGGATTGTAATGTTCATTTACTTAATCCGTCAACTCTTGAAAGGTTTTAGTATCTGGTGCCTTGGGGAAAGTTAGGCTCCTAATAACTGAAAAAACTGCAGGTCCACAAGCTGTCGGGACAATTACTCATTGCGTTTTGTCCACCTCAATGTCATTTGCCTGGAAAAAAGAACATATTCTTTCCATGTTCTGGGCCCAGTCTTTGGCAGGATTGAAGGAATCAAGCTTCTCAAATAGTGGCATGATGCCAGAAATGCTTACCCCATCTCAAAAGTGACTGTTGCGAACAAATTTCTTCAGGGGCATGTATTTCTCTCATCACCACTGAAATAACTCCACAAAGGCCAGTGTCCAAACACCAGGTCACCCTTTATTTACACGTGCATAGTTCATGACACTGACCCTGCTAGCTCAGAGCTAGCTCCTAGAGTAAACAGAACCCCTGCCACTCCTGTTTATATCTGTCAGCCAGGTCTCCCTGATTGGTCCAGATTAACAGCCTCAATCATGGATCTCATATTCCATGAGGTCCACCTGGCTGACCTCCCAATCACCATACCATTCTTCTCTAATTTTGTAGCCTGTACAACAGTACACACTTTTTTTCAGCTTTCAATTCCTTTTTTTTCGTAACTAAAAGCGAAATTTAGCAGATGCTGGAAAATAAAAACAGAAAATGCTGACAAACCCAGCAGGTCTCAGCATTTTGCAGAGAGAGAAACGGAGTGAATATTTCACATCTGATATGACTTCTTCAGAGCTGAAAAGGCTGGGAGATTGAGTTTATTTTGTGTAGTTGGATTGAACAGGTGGTGAGGATGCCTAGATTAGTAGACAAAGGGAGTGCTAATGATAGTAAATGAAAAATAGAAATGTGAAATGGTCATATTGGACACAAAACATGAACTCTGTTTCTGTGTCCACCAATGCTGCCAGACCTGCTGCTTTTTGCTAGCATTTTCTATTTTACTTCCCTTTTCTGTACAGCTGTTCTAGTCTTTTAAATAGAAATTAGAAATAATTATCACTTATTTTGATTGAAAGAATATGTGTTACTTTGAGGAGGTCCAGTTTTTAAAGTATCATTATATAAGATTGCATTCTGTGTCACTTCTGTGACATTGCCAATTTAGGCTGATACTCACTTGTGTCAATTACTGAGGGAGTTCTGTGATTTAAAAAAAACATAAACCTGTGTGTGCCTGCTCTTTCACGTGGATTGTAAGCAATCCTATGACAATTCAAACCTCAAGCGAGGCCTCCTCACATCCTGGCCGATATTTATTACTAAAATTGCTATAAAACAGTTCATTTATCTTCTTTCTGATCATAGACCTTTGCAGTAAATGGATTGGCTGTTGTGTTTGCTCATAATTACATCACTAACAACATTTTAAGATGCTAACTTAACTGTAAAAAATTTTGGGATGATCCATGAATATGAAAAGCTCAATATAAGCACTATACTTGTTTTGCCTTTCATTACCTCTGCATTTCACAAAATCCTGAGTGTCTAGTTTGCTTCGGGTTTTGACCCAAAAGAGGCATCGAGGCTTAACAAAAATGAAAAATATACAGTTTTCACAGTTTATTCTCTGACGAAGGGTCACAGGACTTGAAATGTGAACTCTGTTTTCTCTATACAGATGCCGCCAGATCTTCTATTTTTCTCCAGCATTCTCTCTGGTATTGTTAGATTGAGAAGATGAGAAAACCGTTAACTTAGCACGAAACTTGTCTTAAACTCAACTAAGGCTGTACATTGTACATTTATTCAGTGAGTCATCAGGGCTCTAGCAAAAATTGAAGACATTTCATTTTGTTCCAACATGGAACGTCAACAGTTTAATGAGTTTTGCAGCAGCTTTCAGTGCATTCTGCATAATGGCATACAAAATTATATCTGCGTGGTGCTTTTACAAGTGACAATTTGGCTGCACATGTCAGATGTCAGTGCACAAATATCTGAATTTAGCAACTGGCTTTCAGAAGTCAATCTCAAAGCTAGAGCTGTCAAAATAGTTGCCTGTTGATTTAAGACACATAATTGTAATTTACTTGAAACTTGATTCCTAATCCCTTGGTAGTTGAATAAATGATTTACATTTCTGTTTCTTTAAATGCAGGGCTGCAGCAGAAAGGAACCACTCATTGAAATACCAAGCTGAAATTGGTGTGAATACTTATATTACAATTCATATTTCCTTTCTGCTGGAAAATGAAAGGCGACGTACAAATGTTGTTGCCCGTACATTCTGCCCAGAATTTGATCATTCCTCTGAATTTCTGTGCAACCTTGTAATCCAGAGATCCACAGGAGAGAGTTTCAGTTTGGCTGAACTGCTAGAGTCATCAGAAGCCGTGTTTACCATCTACCATCAGTCTGTTACAATCGGTACCTTTTTTTGTCTTTTTAAGAGTACATGTTATTGTTTACTGCATCCCCACATGATTTTAAGTTTCTGTACCTGCAAAATTCCAAAGTTAAACAGATGGTCAGGTGACCATTCTCTGGTTTTGCTTCGATGGATCACCGTGAAGTGGACAATAGTCATTCAGCTTGAGTCCTTCTTTCCTACCTGTATGAAAGATTTTTTTTTTCCTGTCCCATAGTCTGATTGAAATGCAGAATTTATTTTGGGAAAATTATGGGCATAAATTATGTATTCCATCGTCTATCAAAAGAGGTAGGCTCCTGCAAATGTATGTGAATGTAATTGAAACTTCAAGGTTACTAGAGATAATGATACTTGTGAAACAATATACAGAAAAGGGAAATTCAAAACTTTTATAAATTTGAGTATAAACCTTTTGTCCCCTTGGATCATTTGTACATACTCTACTCTGAATTACAAGGACATGAATTCAAACTACAGCAGGGGCCAGGCCATTGAGTACATTTAAGACTGAGATACTTAGGTTCTTGATTATCAAGGGGATCAAGGGTTACGGGGAGAAAGCAGGAGAATGAGGTTGAGGAATTTATCAGCCATGATTGAATGGCGGAGCAGACTCGATGGGCTGCATGACCTAATTTCTGCTCCTATGTCTTATGGTCTTATGGCCTTATAATCTTGGCTGACATTTAAATATAATACTAAAGAAGTGGTGCACTGTTAAATGTATTACCTTTCATAATTGGAGGCTTTCTGTGGTACACTTAAGAGATTCTATTACAATGTTTGAAAGAAAGCTGAAAATTTTCTGCTGTCCTGGTCAAAATTTACTCCTCAACCAACAGCAACATAAAAGGAATATCTGTTTTCTCGTTATCTCTGTTTCTGGTACTCTATTAAGTGCGAATTAGCTGCCCTGTTAAGCCTTCATTGTAAAATGCAACTTCACTCTGAGGCATTTTGTTAATTATGTAGCAGTTTGAATATTCTGAAGATGTGAAAGGCACTGCTGAAGTTCATTCATTCTATAATTTATTTTTATCTTTTTGTTACAGACCAGACCAAAATATTTTAAGACCCGAACTTTTTCTTATTTTAAAAGCAAGTGCCAAGCGTTGTGTTCTGGGTGCAATTCGATTGGTCAAATTACTAGTTGTGAAGCAAAACACACTTTATTCGTTACTCTGTAGCTAAAATACAACAAAGAAAAGAAGAAATTGGAATAACTTAACTCTATTGGAAAACTTAACAGAATAATAAGTTATTTAATTACTAAACAGTAACCTTTCCAATATTGTAACATCCCATAAACACACCCTCACAAAGGTAAATTCCATAAAATAGATTGTCTCACAGGCAGTACTCCAGTCCAGGAGGAAAAACATCAAGAAAAATCTGAGAGAGACAGAGAAACAACGTAGCAGGGAGAGATGTACTACAGCTTCCAAACTCAGCTTCAAGACCCCAGCAGCTGCTACTGAAAAACTAAAACTAAAACTAAAAATCGTGGCTGTGGGGAAGCTTGATCCCACCCATTCAGGCTGCTTCTATGTTCCAACTTCAAAACAAACACCCCAAGGCCTCACAAGCTGTTTACTTTATTGGATTCAAATAGACAGCTCCATTCCTCTGTCTTAAAACCTCTGTTCAAATAAAAACAGGACAAAATATATCTCGTAAAGCCATTGTTTTGTCACATTTTTGTTTCATTTTATTACATTTTGAAACAAATAATTAGTGCAAATTTCATAATTTTGTTGTTTTGGTACGAAAGTTTACTTTTCAATATGTGTGCAAACATTGTTTGCCGTTTGCCGTATTTTCTATGTTGACAGCTAAACAAAGCACATTTGATATTGGTTCATCAAGGGATGTTGAATTGGGATCTGTACGGATTCCACTGGCAGGCTTGCTCACCAGACGGACAGGTAATGAGAAATCAAGTATAATAAATGTATTGGTTTACTACCGAAATGAGAATCTAGGATTTTATATACAAGACTTAGTCAGTTTAATAGTTGTAAAGGAGTAGCTTAATATTATTGTTATTAATTTTCAAAACACTTCAGTTGATCAATTTAGCTATATTGGCTACTTCTTGGAAATGCATTAACTATGTAAAATGAGGCCAAACACTTCAAAGTAGAAAGTATTTGATCATTTAAAATGTTGCTTAGGCAAAATAATTCACAATATGATTTCTTGACTTGCCAAGTTGAATATATGAATGTTTTATATGAAAATAGAGGAGGGGGGGAAGGAACTTTAGATGGTGATTCAATCTTCTGAGTTAATTATGTATTGTTAGAGTAAGAGGACACAGTAGCAGGTCTCCACCCTGACCTATTACCATGAAATATGATACCTAATATTGGAACGAGCAAAATAAATCTGTTGATGTGCAGATTCCCGAGTATAAATGTGGTATTCATCCAACTTTAGGTGTAGTTTCAACATAGAAATTGGATAATTTATCACTTGCTTTGAGACCCATTGAAGATTTTCTGTTAAGAATTTTGCACTAAGATCAGATGAACTTTCATGTTTTTATTATTTGATTTTAATAAATGGGTTACCTTGACAAGACTCTGAGTCATCCACACAGGGTGGAAGTGGAGGCATGTGGCAGTCATATGGAGTAGGGCTGGGGAATTCCTTTCTCTGAAGGCATCAGTGAACTAGTGAATTTTTATGAGACCTTTATATGGTAGTTTTCTGGATGTTACTGTACAGATTACTAAATTGTTTTAATTAATTTTGACATGATAGGCTTCAGATTTCTGGTCAAGGTTATTTGACCTATACTATGACTGTTAGTCTGCTGTATCCATATTGATATGACAGTTAATTACCTGTTCTTTATTTATGTCCTGACTAATATATTTACTACAAACTACAAGTTATTTATGTTGAATGGACTTACAAAATATTTATTTTGTATCCTATATGAAGGCATCTCTGGTTGGTATGCAGTGAGTCTTCCAGAGGTTATCACTTCTGCTCAGTCTTGTGGAGTTCTACAGAACTTGGGTGGTGGGCTCGAGATTTCAATCCACTTCACACATCCCAATGATAGAGAGCGTGTCATAAAGGCTGCAGAGGCATTGGACTGGCAGTGTGGAACAAATGAGGAAAAAGTTAAAGAGTGGCAATCCGCAGAAAGTAGCGTATCAATAACACTAACTGTGTCACGGATATGGCTCCCATTGCACTGTGTAACGCTGCCTGGACAAGAACATCTGGACAAATCCACTTTCTGTTACCTTCGGTATAAACTGTATGATAGAGAGCATGCTTGCACATCACTTCAAAAGCCAGTCCTGACTATTAACAAAAGTTATGTTACAGTGAACTTTGATGAGGTGAAGACTGTATATCTGAAAAGAACCCAATCATTGATCTGGTACCTAAATGAAGAAAGACTAGAAGTGCAAGTATGGGTGGCATATGGAAACAACAAGACTCTGAGACCTCATGATACTGATCGGTTAATTGGATATTCATTCATAGATCTGTCAACCCTGGCAGAGAAATCTTCAAGAAAGCTTACAGTTAGTGGTATGTACAAATCAATTTCAGATTCCAATTCAGTTTAAGTATATAATTATTTGAAGCATCTTGTTCTTTCCAAAATTCCTTTCCTGCTTTTAAAAGTTGACTTGTGTTATCTTCAACCCCCACTCCTTAAATATAGTCTAGCTGTTTTTCTTTTTGCCTTCATATTGGCTATTTTTCAGATTCCATACGCTCTAGGAATCTTTCTTGATGTTTAAAGTATTTTCGAATTTTAAAACTGTTTCATGTGGAGACAGAAAGCCAGTTTCCTTTATTGGTTGAAGGAAATCAGTAACACTTGGAAGTGATATGTCATCCTGATATTTCTACTGTTGCAAAGGTCGAAGAATGTATGTGCCCATTTATTCATGTATTTATATCCATCTTTGACAAGGATCTTGTTAGTTGAAGCATTATACAAGTAGAGGATCAATTGTAACAAAAACATGAATGATTGAAAATGGAGGGATCGACATATCCATTACTGGCAAGTTCACTAATTGTTTTCAACTCATCATATTACCAAGTAGTTCCCATGAGATGTTAGTGAGTTGAATTTTCCAGTCATGTTTTACACTTAATTTTTTCTCTCATATCAACTGGAATATTTCTCCATTACTTTTTTTTGTTTTGCTTCTCTTGCCTCAAATTATTTTCAAAAGTGCATTTTTTAATAATCACTGTAACTGCATTTCTTGCTTAAATTGTGATCAATATGTGCCAACTTCTTCATCCCCATCTGCAATTCCATCAAGCAAAACTTCATACAAAATCTGGAGGCTTAAAATTTCTGAGCTTATAAACACATGAATACCAGACTTTTAGATATATAAATTTTTCTTTAATAATTACTTCTTTTGTTGCCTGATGTGAGTTGCATTATCAGAACAGATGTGTTTGAGTTGACAATCGGGGGAAGGGAATGGACCCCTTGCAGGAAGAGGAGGAGAAGGTGTTTAATCAAAGTAACTGGGTGTTGGGCTTGTCATAGCTACTGATGAACAGTCCACTCCCAGCATTGAAGATAAAGATGTCAAGGGAAAAAGGAGGGTGACTCACAAATGGTCTGTGTAAAGATAATGAAGAATTGGAAATCATTGAAGGGTTGAATGCAGTCAAGAGTCACCAATGAACTTCTTCACCTATTTCAAGGGAGAGAACATTGAGATGAGACTGAAATGATGGGAAGAGGGTCTCAAGAAAAAAAGCCATCCCATTAATCAATATTTTGGTCACCATATTCTGCACCCCTAATTAAGCTAGATCTGTTCGTGCTTTGAAATAATTCTCTACAGTAAAGATGTAATGTATCACAGAAGAGTTCAGCCCATCATGTCTGCCTTGGCTCTCTGAGTGAGCTTCGTGACTTAGTGTCATTCTCCTGCCTTTCCCTGGACATTATTCCAATTTCATAATCATCTAATGCCCTCTTGAATGCCTCAATTGAATATGCCACCACCACACCACCCGGCATGTGTTCAAGACATGAGCCACTTGCTGTGTAAAAATGTCTTTTTCTTATATCACATTTACTACATTTCCATATGATTTTACTTCTGTGCCCTGTTGTTTTTGATCCTTTTATGAACAGGTACAGTTTCACCTGAATACTCTGTCCAAACTTCTCATGATTTTTGAAAATTTCTTTCAGATTTCCTCATAGCTTTCTCTTCATCAAAGAAAACAGCCCCAAGTTCTCCAATCATTCTTCATAGCTGAAGTTTCTTATCCCTGGAACCAGTCTTATAAACCTCCCTGCAATCTCCAATACATTTGCATAATTCTAGAAGTGTGGAACGCAGAACAGTGCACAGTACTGTAGCTGAGGTCTAAATAGTGTCTTCTACAGACTCAGCATAACCTGATGCTCGTGGATTCTATGCCGCAATTAATAAAGCCTTGGTTCTTGTAGATTTTATTAACTGATCCCCTCCGTGTCCTCTTCCATCTTTCAATGATGTGTGCACATATATGCCCAGGTCTCTGCTCCTGAGTAGTAATCTTTATTTTAAACAATTTCTCCATGTTCTTTCTACCAAAATGTATTACCTCCTATTTCATCTGCCACCTATCCACTCAATCCTCCAGCAGCATATAGAAATAAAATACCATATATAAATGTGAATTGTTGCACATTTTCAAGAAGAACTTTAATAATAGGGAAGGAAGAGCCAGAGAATTTCCAAAATGTACATATTTCTCTATTTCTTTGCAGGCATTTATCCACTGTTTAAGCGAGGTGCTTCTGACCTATCAGGTGCTGCTGTAAGGTTCCATGTCACACTAGTACCAAATGATCCACTACTATCTGATGATGGTACTTATCAGAGAATAAGCTTTGCAGAGAATGACCATGATTATGAACATAGTACTGAAGAAGATGAACCACTCATTAATGAAAAAGAGCAAACATCAGAAGCGTGCATTGATAAAGAAACATCCACAGGTTCTAATATTGAATGCAAGAAAATGGCTAATGAAATTTCTGAGATGGAATTAGCTAACACATTTGCAGTGAATGTTGTAGTGGAGAGAGCAATGCATATAAGTTTGAAAGGTAAGAATTTTACTACTTGTCAAAAATACAAATGTTTTATCCCTCTAGTGATATTGAGTCAATGATTCATACAATTTTCTCCACACCCAAAATATGTGATTAACTTCACAGTAGTCAGCATAGAGTATTATATGTGTAATATGGCATAATACAGATTGGTTCTGTTTTTTTTCTTTACTATTTTATATATTGCTCCTGCTTTGATGCTACATAAAATGTTATATTGGTTCCTCCTCATGTGGCATGGAGGAAAATTGCAAGATATAAAAGAGCAATTAGCATGCAGATGCAGCAAGTAATTAAGGAAGCAAATCAAATTTTGATCTTTTATTGGTGGGGTTTTGGAATTTAAAAAAGGAAAGTCTTGTCACAAGCATACAAGGGGTTGTTGAAGCCACAAACATCTGAAGTACTGAATATAGTTTTGGTCTACATGTTTGAGAAAGGATTGCAACAATATTTAATTAGGTTCCCATTTCATCTTAACTGTGTCATCTGTCTCATCTCACACCCATCTCAGTCCTTTCACCCTTCTCTAACTGTGCCTGTCCAAGCCCTCAACCCACCCTTTCTTCTTGTGTAATCTCCCAAGCAGCCTCTCCTTTATTTTGTTATGTCATCTCATTACCATTTCTCATACATACCTGCCAGAACATTCTGGCCCCTTCTTAAACTGCCCACTCCATCATCACCATTCTTGTCAACAACCAGGTGAGCTGTAGCTTCAAGTAGGTGACTGTCATGTTTGTGGGTGATAGGGAAGATAAATAGAATGGAATAGCTTACTTCTTCTGTGTTTTACTGTCTGCTTGAGGACTGTTAGGGCTGAACAGCAAGTGCTAGCTTTTTCAGTGATATCCACATCCCATGATAGAAAATTTTGAAAATTAACCTTGCTGCTGTTGATTTTGATCCGTGTTTAAATAGCAGCTGTGAAAATTTGTGATATTGTTGCTTTGTGATATTTACCATACAGTAATTACAGTGAAAGCTCTGAATTTAACGAATTTAACAATTTCTGGATGATCTAAATTTGCTATTTCATGAATTATAATTAGTTGGCTCCCCCAGTGCAAGAAGAGCTACATACTTTGTCAAGATCAATTTATCAAGGTTTACATGGATTTTACTGCCTAGAACATGAATATTAACAATTTTTATGCATTCTGTACTGCAAGGAGCGCTGTACAAACTTGAACTTCGACATATCCTGTCTAAACATGCACCTTTCTGTCTTTAGTAGATTCAAATCTGACAAAGCTTCTTTGAGCTGCAGCAGTAAAATATCTGACTTAGTAAATGCAGTTCATTGTCCACTTTGTTGACATTATCAGCCATGATTAATTTTGGTCAGATATTCAGGCTTGCTGTTCATGGTCACTTTGGGGTGTGGTTTATCCTTGCATATATTGTAATTTGGACAGGGAAGGATTTTCATACAAACAAACATAGGAGTAGGAGCAGACCACTCGATTCCTCAAGCTTGCTCTGCCGTTCAATCAGATCATAGCTGAACTGATTGTAACCTCAACTTTACATTCCTGTATATCCTTAATAACCTTTCTTACCCTGGCTTATAAATATCACTCTACTTCTATCTTTAAAAATATACAAAAACTCTGCTTTCACTGTCTTTTGAGGAAGTAAATTTGAAAGCCTCATGACTTACTGAGAAAACAATTTTCATCTGTCTTAGAAACAAACACCAACCACCATTGCCGCCCCGCCCCCGATCCCGTCCACGATTCTCTCACGAGGAAATATTCGTTCCTCATCCACCCTGTCAAGACCCTAAGATCTTCTATGTGTCAATAAAGCCGACACTTACTCTTTGAAACTCATTGTTTTAAAGAAATATAACCTGGCCAACCATTCCTCATAATACTTCATTCCAGGTATTCTTTAAACTCCTTCCACGCTGTTACATTCTTCCTTAAATAAAGTAACCAATATTATCCACAATGCAGTTTAGTTCAGTAATTATTCCTCATTTAGGAGAGGAGCCAGTACCATTGTTTGGTTCATCTGTTGAATATTACAAATGTTGAAACGTATTACAGAGGTTTATGAACACACAAAATATATGTTTTATGCCTCTAAAACATATTTAAAGACTTCTGTTTAATGCTGAAAATATTGCTGCCTGTTCACTTAAAACCTATTTGTCTGTTTCTGACAATGCTGTTCTCAGAGGAAAGTATGTCTTTTGTTTCAAGACTGAGAATCAAGATACTTAGTTGTACTGCTTTGGAAATAATTAGGTATGTGACTTATGTTTTTCAAAAAAATAGTTGCCCCTTCATAAATTGAGACAAATTAGATCACTGTTTGTAATGTACATGTTACTGGCTTTGTACTGCATTCAATTATGAACGATAAAGAAGTTGTTGCAATGCTAATTCACCTCCTTGTCCATTGGCAAGGTTTATTGAAATGAAATACGTCTACCAATTTGCAACAGTTGAACACAAGCTAGTAATCCAAGCACATATAATGTGCTGTGTTTGTCCTTAGATATGAAAGGAGAAACAGAATCTATGCTTCTTTCGCAACACAATCTATGCTTCTTTCGCAACACAATCTTCTGCTTTGTGCATCTAAACCTTTTATGCTGTGGGAAAATTAAGGGAAAAACTAAGCCACAATTCAACTTTAAATCTGAATAACACAACAGTTGATGGGAACTGGTGGATCAAAGTCAAATGATTTTTTTTTTCTTTCCAGTATTTTTCATCTTCTTTGGTGTTATGAAGGTAGCAGCGCATAGTATAATGCATTTCTATCAGAGGTAGCAGCAACAAACTGTTGAACCTTGTGAGTCTGAAGATTATTGACAAACTATCAAACTTCAGCCTATTATTACCTAAAACATTAAGAAAATATTTTTATATTTCCAGTCCAAGTCACTTGGGGTCACTTTGAAGCTTTACTGTACTGTCCTGAGTGCAATTAGCTAACTGAGCTAAGGGTGGGAAGACAGATTTGAATCTGGATGATTTGAATGTGTGCAAGCACTTGCTGAAGCCATTGTATTTTTTTTGAGGTTTGTTAATGGTTGCAGAGTGGCCGAGAGAATGTGCATGTCAGTGTAAAAGATTGATGGTAGTGCCTGTGATGTTGCTATCTCCTTGGCAACATTCAGCTTTTTTGCTGAGGGCACATAATGTTGCTTCGTTGCTCTGAACTGTGGCATAACTCCAATTGGTAATGCCTGCGACATTTCTTCAAACATTTTGGCAAGCAGGACTTTGACCAGCTCACTGTTGTGAAAATTTCAGTGAAATAATCAAAAACTGAACCCTCAATTAACATTACAGAATTTCCCTTCTGTAAAACTACAGCAACTATTTCATTTCTTTAGGACTCAGTTTAAATATTTTCAGTTTAATTTCTTTTTAAACACATATTTCCCATTTATACAGATTCTGCATTTTACCTATCAATTGCAACTAAACAACTAAGAGCATAGGTATAAACAAATAAGAAATGAAAATCACCTAACCTGAAGGTTAAATATTACAATTCAAAAAAATGAACATTGAAGAAGAGAGTCACAATGTCAGTGGTCTAAATTATGCGAAGATTCATTGATTGAACTTGCGTTTTTCAGACTGAAAAGGATGATCTGAAAGGTGGTATCGAAGAGTGTGTGTGATAGTCAATTGTATGGAAAGGGCAAAACCAGAAGGTTCATCAAATTAGCTACTTTTGGCAATAGTGCTGAAGACATGATCCAGTGTTAGCAGTGTCTGTAGCCAAGCTGTTCCAATACAGCTACAACACTGTTGTCTGTCCAATAAGTCAGGAGAGTGATGGAATATACTTTCCACTTACCTGGATGAGTACAGTACCAACAATATGAGGCAGTTCAATTCATTGACTTGGAACTTCACTGTTACTTATAGGGGAGGCAATGGCCAGGTGGTATTATTGCCACCAGAGACCCAGGTAATGATCTAGGGATAGTAGGAACTGCCGATGCTGGAGAATCTGAGATAACAAAGTGTAGAGCTGGATGAACACAGCAGGCCAAGCAGCACCAGAGGAGCAGGAAAGCTGACGTTTCGGGTCT